GCGTTGGACACTAGAACCGAGACGAGCTAGTAGGCTACCCAAACTTGAATTACCCCCTGGGACTGAAAGCCGTCGTTTGAGGTGTCGGACCCAATGACCAGAACCGAACTGAACTACTAGTATCCGAGGCTAACTCGTCGAACTTATGAGAGTGCTCATACACTCTCCTACTCGACTGCTTCATCACCCGTGTTGCCAGACGACCAAAATCAAATTGTTGTACAGTGCTGCGCATTAGAAATTTTTTTTTTTTTTTTTTCATAATTTATCTTACAAAACTGACCTAGTGTGACATCGGAGGCTGGTTAATTTAAGAGTTTATGGGTTTAGGGTTAGGATAATTTGATAATAATTTTATTGAGTACACATAAAGCTAAAGTTTCAAAAATAATTTATTTTTGTAATCCTTTCTGATTTTGATCTTTTAATTGTTTTTGTCTATAGATTTTTAAATATGTCTTGAATTTTATCATTTCATATGTATGTTATTGTACTCAACCTAGTAACCAAAAGTGTTAATAGGCTCAATTCAATCCTATGACAAGTTTTCGATATACAGGTATATAAAGTTGAAAATTGCCTAGTTTTCGAAATTATTTTCAAATTGCCTCCCTGACGTCACAGTAGAAGTAGTGCAAAAAACTACCATCATACATTTGTGAATCACCCTGTAATTAAAAACATTACAAAAACATGTGTATGCAATAGAAATTCAATCTAGCTCGTAAGTTGGAAAATAAAAATTTCGAAAAATTAGAAATCTTTAACTTTTTTCAGTATATCTTACAAATACGATAATTATCGTGCGTCTTGCAACACTGCTCTCTCCGTTGACATGATTCCTTACAATTTTAGTCGAGTGACATGCGCAGCAAGTCCAAATTGTGAGAGAGTACTCACACTCCTTTTCCCATAGTTGTAGAATACGGCTCCAGAACTGTTGCCAATTCATGACAAACTAATAACTGGGAAAAGTTAATAGCTTTTATATAAAATTAAGGGTGAAGGTGTGAGTGGTTTGGATTAATTATGAAGGAAGCAAGAAAGCAAGGGTCCTTTATGTCTTACAATATCAATTTAATTAGTGACCGGTTTCGAAGTAGGTTACTTCATCTTTAGGCGATCTAAATGGATTGTCAAGCAGTCAATGTATTGAAAAGTGAAAATATTTAATACAAAAACAAAACAGTTAAAGGTTAAAGGAAAGGGTTAATAATAATTTGACTTACCGTGACATAGGATAAGTTACAATATGTTATCATAAAAATTATTAATGGCCACTGCCTAACTGCATTAATTTTATATTAGACACAGTGACCATTAATCCTTTTTATGTTAACATATGTAGCTTAGACTGGGCCAAAAAAATAAAACAATTTTTTTTCTTAGCGGAACTATTCTTTGTAATCGAGCCTTAAACATTGGTATATATTTTCAATTTGCATTTGGGATTTCCAAAATGAACTTAAATATTAATATTTATATTAATAGACTCGTCTTACGAAAATTTACTAAGAGAGCTTTTTTGTGGGGAATTTAATTTCCTACAAGGATAAGAGGTGAAAACATTTTTTAAAATTGACCCAAGTCCGAAATTTATGCAAAAACGCGACAACTGTTGAAAAATCAATAACTGCAATGATGCACCTCTTAATATTATTATTAAGGGCTCAAACTTTCAGGAAATTTTTTTTTTGTCGTCATGAACAATATTTTCATAGTTCCGCTAAGAAAAAAAATTGTTTTATTTTTTTAGCCCAGTCTAATGTAGCTTATCTGTTGACGAGTTACAGGGTTTCATGTTTCCCTGTACCTGCATTCAACTTATTCCCAAGACTGTAGTGGAGTGCTTACCATAAAGGTGCCGAGTTTATTCGTCGTCACAGGAAAATAAAAAGCCGGTTGCGATAACCACTGTTTAATAACAATTTTCATTTACATCACAACGAACACTAAGTACATGGTTAATACAAAATTTGCCTATTATTTAACGTACATTCCGAAGACATCTCTTGCGGTATTTTTGATGTAGCTATAAGCACATACAGAAGGGAACTTACAAAAATTATTAAAGTAACATGATTTTGTAGGATATTCGTGGCTTTCGTGTGGGGTTTGCTAGTGCTCTGATTATTTTAGCATGTTTCTTTTTCTTTAAATTTTGATAAAAACATTTTAGTAGCGATGTTTATTTAATATAAACAAAATTAAGTGTATTAATTATATATTGTGTATTTTTGTTGATTTCTTTTTTTGTTTATAATACTATAGAAACATGTAATTAAGCTAATGCCTGTTTGTTTCTGAAAATAAAATAAAAATACAGTACTGTTGGGTACTAATTAACAGTGCTGTTCCTAAAGTGGCGCTGGGAAACAGTAACAAAGCCTACACATAACACGAGGCTAATAACCGTAGCAGTTGATGCCGATGACACAAAAAAAAGAAATACAGTACTAACTTTGTAAAAAATGTATCACACCTTGCCATTAGTTAACCTTGTACATTATTTCATAAATTAAACATGGCGGAGTGACGCCTTGATTGAATGTATTCTTTACAACGACAGCGAAGCATGTCTTGCGCCGTCGAGGGAGAGAGCTCATCTGCCTTGTCTAGGGTCAATATTAAACGATGAAAGTATCGATATTTAACGATGAAAGTATCGATATTAAACGATGAAAGTATTGATATTAAACGATGAAAGTATCCATATTTAGGCATCGATATTGAATTACCAATACTATCGGGGTACGATATTTATAATTATCGTATCGCTATGTGTGTGTGAGTATGGTCAGGGTCACCTTGGATAATATAAAGTTTGTTAAAGATACGCGAAAACCGTAATATTACGGTACAAATCATGTGCTCTACGCATAAATTGCATACAGCGCATGATTTGTACCGTAATATTGTTTTCGTTTGTGGTGGAACTTGAAACAGATCTTAATATGATTATGCGCCCCCACTGTTTTTTTTTGTAATCTAATTAGGGCCGATTCCACCGTTGTGTTAAACGAAGTTTAAATTACTAAGCGAAGATTAAAATGACATTGTTAATATAAAAATGGCATTTTAATCTTCGCTTAGTAATTTAAACTTCGTTTAACACAATGTTGGAATCGGCACTAAGGTAAATTGCCCGTTATTGACACTATAACTTTACCAGTACCAGGTAGAGTACCAGTAGAGAGATAAAGGGAGTCATTAACAACTGTCAACTACAAAATATACTTTACCGATGCAACTCTTGTTTTTTGTTAAGTTCTCCACTTCGCCCTGTTTGGGGGGATGCCGGTCGTTTAAAAAAAAATTGTTTTACTTGCTCGATACTTATAAATATCGATATCTTTAACATAATATCGAACAGTATCGATACCTCTATCACAAAGTATCCCGCATGATACCGGTATCGATACTCATAATTCATAACCCTAGCCTTGTCCGCGTAAAAGATTTATAGATTCCAAGCGTTCGTTGCATTTATATTAAATAGAAGAGGGAGATTTACCTAACTTGAAGCCACTCCAAATCCTACTCTTCCTTGAGAAGATAGGATTGGAAGGGTCGTTATAGGCATTAAGACATTTCCTTGCTGCATTAGCGACAGAAGGGGACACAAAAGATCTTTTAAGTCGCAGTGTATTAACACCCCATTCTCAACATGACATACATTTACGTCACGTCCAATGGTTTTGTAAGCACGCGTCCACGTGACTGTAATATGTGTTGCCTAATGACTAAGGTTGATTTTTAAGATTCTGGAGTGTCTAGACACTAACTGGTAAACGTAAATATCGCTGTCATGTTTTAATATAACGAATATTTCAACATTGGTAAGTCAAATGATTATTAATCCTCTTCTTTAACCTTTAACTGTTTTATTTTTTGTTGATTCAAATACATCAAATCCTCTTATGGATAAACCATCGCCGAGTGTTTTCTATTTGATGATAAGCAAAATATATGTATATTAAAAACATCGTTTAACTGTAGTAACTTTGGACACACATATTAGGTAAACAGATCATAGGATTACAATAAAAAATTTATAGTGCCAAATAATCTATAATTCATGTTTTTTACAACAACGTGTGTTATGAGAAATATGCTTACAAAAAGTGGCATTTCCGATGTTTAACACCCTGTATCTCGAAAACTAGTTATAGAATTGGTTTGGGCCAATAGACACTTTTTATCTACAAGATAACATTTCTGAAAATTTTACGAAAAGCCATTTTTCAATAAGAAAGGTGCCTGGTCCTTTAAAAATTTCCCAAAATTATTAACTATAGGTATAGGAAATTCTTAACCCAAATGAAACTTTAATTAAGGTACTTATAAATGGTGATATTAAATCCAGGATGATCAATTTAAAAAAATTAGAAAATTATGTTTTTGAATTTTGATTCACCCTGTACAGACGAAAACCTTTTACTTAAAAAAAAATTGATTTTTGACTTAAAATTAATTTTATTAACTAAACTGCGTCTTAAAATTATAACTGCAGCTTTTTTAATAACCACACGAACATGGGTTTATTCAATTTTTTTTTGTTCTGTCGCCCATAGAAATATTGCTGGACAAATTGAACCTAGTATAGATACACCATTAAATAATACTTGTATTTACAAACGTAATATATGAATATTTAAATTAGTATTTAAACCATGTGAGGTGTTTACAAATATTTCCATATAAAAAAATATTTAAACATCTTTTGAACCTGAACCATAGTTGACTTTGGCCAAAACGTAATATTAGATGAATTTATTAAATTTCAGTAGGTTTTACATTACGTCTAAGTAAATTAATAGATATGGGAAAAATAACAATTCCACTTAAAACCAGTTTAGTTGCAAAGTATATTTCAAAACGACTAAAATTATAAACACTTTGCTCTTAAAATAACCTCACTATAAATGTGTCATTTGTTTTTTATTGGAATATATAATTTGATGGATATATTTTGTTTCATAATATAATTTTCTTTTTAGAAAAATACGATTTCGTTGGAAGACTTCTAAAACCTGGTGAACAACCCACAAATTATTCAGATGAAGAAGATGAACAGCCGTCAGTAACGGCCGAACAGCCGTCAGTAACGGCCGAGAAAAAGAAAGATGATTAAAAAACAAAGAAATATTCAGATAAAAAAAGGCTGAAACGGTTAAACGACCGTTCTGTAAAAAATAGAAATGTGTCCGGTCTCTGTAAAACTAGGCACTAAGGTAAAAACATTTTTGAGTAGTATTGGGAGAATTGATAATCATTACACATTTTTAAGTCGATAACAAACTTTTAAACTAGCATTCTAATTTATATTTGTCAAGGTTAATGTCTAACAATTATTTTTTTTAAATAAATTAAATACGATTACCACCTCTCTTCCAGTCCCGATTTAGCTCAAGTAATGCAAAAACTGTTTACACTTCACGGGTTAAATTGAAATCGAAAATTTCAGTAATTTTCGCACAATTTTTTCGAAAAATACAAAATTACTTTCTTTAATCGTAACCAGTTGTCTAGTTTTACATGACCTAAAGTATTTCTAAATGACTTCTAAAACTATAAGCGTTACGGGAAAACATCCAGCAACTTAATTTTTTATCTTGATTTTTTTTATAAAATAGTGTTGGAAGTTCACTCTACATTTTGTAATTTTAAATATTTTCCATTTTATTGAAATTAAGAGGATATGGTTTTTATAATTTATTTATATTGTGTAATTAAATGATAAATAATGTGCTCGGTTAAAATAAATATATAAAGTTATTTAAACTTTTAAATTGTCTTCACTCAGTATGCCAATTGTATTTCTATCCACTGTGAGAAATTATTAATGTGACTTTCTTTGCAAACCTTTCAACCCGCTTAATTGGATAAAATATTTAATGTATATATTTCTAAACAAAAAATCATCACAGAATCATCAAATTGGTCATGAAAAATATCTAAGAAACAATTGGGGAATCTCTTAAATATGAAGGGATGCAGTGACATGTAAGTTTGAAGGTTAAAGATATTTTTGTAAAATTATGCCTGAATTTGAATGTTTGATAAAATGCCCAAATTATTTTAATTATTTATCCAGTATGTGTATCCTCAACCGATTTCAATTTGTAATTGCGTTATAATTTTTGGGACATTAAAATAGTTTTTATTTTTGTTAGTGTACACAAATATTCAATGGTATTATAAAATGAGACAAAAATAAAACAAAAATAATTGGTGATAATGTGTGTTTACTTCTAGTGAAGATAATAATAATAATAATAATAACTAAGACCTTGAAAGATACTATATTATTTAATATTTTTATCACTAATTTATGTAAGGTTAAACATAAAATAAAACAAATTAAAATGCTTTTAAACAGGAAAGCCAAAATTAATATAAACTACTTTTTTTGTTTATAGCTTCAAATGTCTTTCTATCAAGTATAATAAAAGATACAGTATTGTCCAGTTGCAACACTATAGTAGAATTACTAGGCCTTAAAAAAATCGTAAATTCATCCACAAACACGAACTAACGTTTTAATGATTTGTATACTTTTGTATTAGATGGTGGCTTTTTTACAGAGCTCTTGGCTGTTACAATTCGATCGCCATTCTCTTTGTTGTGATTCTTCAATGGTTCATCTATTTCAGTCTTCTCCTTTTTTCACCTTTGTTTACGAATCAATTTTTCTATTTCAATCGACAGTTTTTTGTCATATATTTTTCTCATGGCTGAACCAGGTAATCTGTTTTCCTATTCTGTCCATTCCTTTTATTCTTTGTGTTATGTGATCATGTAAAATTACTCTGCAGCATCTTCGCAGTATTTATATGTTTCTGTATATTATTTATTTCAAATCTCTATTTTTCGTGAGCCTTCTTTTGATATTTAGTGAGAGGCATTGTGTTAATAGAGAGATGAAAGATGGTACTACTGTTTTCTATGTCTAATGTGATTCACGTAATAATTATGCTACTTTTCCACATTTATTGCAATAAACACTTTGACATCTTCGTCATCATCATCATCATCTTAAATAATCTTGCTTTGTTAAACGATGTAGCTTTGTCGAGAGCTACCCGTACAGTGAGGAATGCACCATTGAAATTTTTGTCCACGGGTTATCCCAAACTCCATTTTTTACATGGTCTTGGTATCGTTCTTTATTCATTCGTGCTTTGTGTTTAAAATTACTGATTTTAATAAATAAAGAAATTGGTTAAAAATTATTAGTGATTGTCTCTAATATTTCTACATTTTTCCATTTCAGTTTATGAAAAAGAACAACCTATTATTAAATCTTTAGGAGTTACATTAAAATGTTGTTTTAACATTAAATCCGTTTGATTCTATAAATATATCTTTAACCAAAACTTCGTTATGTCGAATAGAAATTGTTGAACTGTAGTTTTGCAATTTAAATGCGCATTATGCATGTTTGCATAATTCCAAAAATTTGCATTTATTTGTTAATATTAATTTTTAAACTTTGATTTCTGAACATAAATAATGTCTGGGCAGTCTGTTAATATATATTATGGGTTGAGTATGATGTAAAATATTTTTTAAAGATATGTATATTTTTTCTTAGTTTTACGCTCACTCTTTCGAAATTTTATTTTAGGAAATCTAGACTAAAATAAAAAACATCGCTTATTTGCTGAAAAATGTATCTTCTTCCAAATTTTTACTCATTTTTAAAATACGTTGGTAAAAAAAGTGATTTTGTCTTCTACTTAGTATTCTAATAATAAAGATGATTCGTTTTTGAATTTTTTTTATAAAACTGGTTAGGTTCTGTGATAATAGGAAATAACTGACCCTAAAAATAAAATATTGGGTGTTGATTTCCCAAAACGAAATTCTAAATTGTATTTTTTTTTTTTTAGCTTACATATATATTTGCCATATTCAACATCACCAAAAGTAATAAATCTTTAAAACACAGAACTAACAAAAAATTAGATGATTTTTAAAATTTGCTTGTCAAAATAAATTATGCTTAGTGTATATGTGGGATGGTGTTTGGTTATGTACTTGTGTTTTATTAAAAAAAAAATATTAAAAGCTGTTTTATATATTTGTTTGTTCAAGAGTATATTTTGATTTTAGAGAACGTAAATATATAAAACACTAGTTTTAGAGACATATTCTACTTAATATGTATTCAAGAGTCATTTATGATACATCTTGATCCAATATAATACGCTACACTCTGTATGCTGGCTTTTCTGTGATATTTTAAAAGTTTCAATTGTTAGTGACTGAATGAATACGAGTTATTACTGTTTTAGTCACACAATAATAAGGTTGAAATCGTTTAAAATAGCACGTAGATAAAAATGGCATTTCCCCAATACTGGCCTAAAAGTTACAGTTCAGTCCGAGGTGAAAAATCAAAACTTTTTCGATCAAAATATTAATCAATTTGAACTGACATTTTTATTTGTCGAAATGTTCTATTTTTATTAATTCTATGAAATTCAGGAAAATGTTTATTAATGTAATTGTTTGAAACAGTGTTACGTTGTTATTACTTATTATTGTATCAATTAAGTTAATTTCCCTATGTATTTGGAAAAGGCTAGAACTGTAAGAAGCTGTTATTTTTAATTTTTAAATATCTACTTGTTGCAAATGTTTTTTCAAATAAATATAATATGACTCATATATAGTTTAGCTTTATTATACCCTTCGCCCAAGTAGTCTGTGAAGTTATTATAGGTTTACTTTCAAAAAAATAATTTTTTTATATTGGTCCAGATTTAAAATTTTTTTTACCAAAATCCTTCCATTCATATTTTAAACAACTTTTAAAAATGTCTGTCCATCCATCCGATGCGGTCCCTTTTTTGTCCGCATTATAGGTCAAAAACGAAAAATCTGAATAAAATGGGGGGTTGAAAAAAAATATAGAAATAAAAAAACGAAAAATGATATAAACTTGAAAACACCCAAACTCAAAAACCAAAAATGGTATCGACTCGAAATTTTTAACAAAAATCAATCTTAATGCCATTAATTTGGAAGAAATCTAATTAAAAATGGGGGCGGGGGTTAAGGGAGGTTGCAACTAAAAAAAAAAAAAATCAAAAGAAAAATCGAAAAGCGATATCAACGTGAAATTTTTAGTAAAAATCAAGCTCTATAAGAAGATAAAGCCTTCTGGAAAATCTGAATTAAAATGGGGGGTTGAAATATTAAAAAAATCCTAAATGAAAAAATTATATTAACTTGAAATATTTAGCAAAAAACATGTTCTATAAGAAAGGGAACAAAGTCTATTGACTTTCAAAAAAATCTGATTAAAAATTGAGGGTTAAAGGGGGTTGAAATTTTAAAAAAATCCTAAATCAAAAAAGAAAAATGGGAGGGTTAATGGGGGTTGAAAAAAAAAGAAATAAAACGAAAAATGATATAAACTTGAAAGTTTCAGGAAAAATCGTGCTCTATAAAATAAATAATTAAAAATGGCAGATTAAAATAAAAAAAGATCAAATAAAAAACATGAAATATTTAGGAAAAATCAAGTCTATTGATTCTGAAAAAATCTGAATAAAAGTGGGGGGTTAATATATTTAAAAAAATCCCAACTCAAAAACGAAAAATAAAATTTTTAGCAAAAACCAAGCTCTATAAGGGGACAAAAAGCCTATCGATTTTAAAAAATTCAATAAAAGGGGAGGTTGAAAAAAAAAACATAAATTAAAAACGAAAAAATGATATAAACTTAATAGTTTCAGGAAAAATCAGGTTCTATAAGTGGGCGAAACTGTTTTTGAAACACAAGAAGATTAAAAATGGGGTAAAATTAAATAAAAAAAAAATCTAATCAAAAAAGAAAAGCGATATCAACATGAAAGTTTTAGTAAAAATCAAGCTCTATAAAGATATAAAGCCTATTTATCTGAATCTGAATAAATATGGGGGTTGAAATATTTAAAAAAATCCTAACTGAAAAAAAAAATGATATCAACTTGAAATTTTTAGCAAAATCAAGCTTTATAAGGGAGAACCCATTAATTTTGAATTTTTATTTAAAAATGGGGGTTTTAAGAGGGGTTGGAAAGGAAAAATTCTAAATCAATATCAACATGAAAGGACCAGGCAGCCGGCATATGGACAAATGGGGTTCTGTCGAATTTCCTGAACTTTTGATATGTTGTAGTTGCTGAACAATAGTGTTCGTGGGCACTACTCAATCCTATGACTACTTTTTGATATACAGGGCGTTGAACTTGCAAATTGACGTTTTTTTAAAAAGGACTTGCCTCTTATGAGATTTGCAATTGTGTACAAAAAACTACCTCTGAGAGTAAAGTGATGACTGTGACGAGAAAATGAATTCAACTGTTCATATCTTTCATTACCTGGTTTTATACTTCATATCTCAAAAACTGATCATAGTAAGTGTTAAAAATGGACTAGCAAATAGTTTTGATTTTCTAATTCTGTGGCCGGCGCTTAAAAGTTCATAAGTCGTTTTTTACGTAAATGGAGTTTTTAGTGAAGATACGTTTAGAAGAGTATATTTTAGGCAGTTAAAAGGATTCAAGTCTATATACGTTGTAAAGTAATAAAAATAAGGTACAAAAAACATATAATAATACAAGGGTAACGGCGGAAGACAAAACGTCATAATTATACATAAACAGTCAAATTTTGTAACATAAAACAGTTAAAACAAAGTATGTCGATTTGGATTCTAAAAATCTAGGGTCCGGACGACTTTAGGGACAGTGGAATTTTAAAGAAATGTATTTTTTATCAGAAAGAGCGTATTTTAAATAGTACAATTAAAAAAAATTGCGGTAAATGCATTATTTAAGCCAAAAAAAATTTATTTAATTTCTATAAAAATCAGCATTTTGAAGACTGTAAACATCGAAACTCGATGGTTTCTGTCAAATTTGGAAAATATAATTGCAACGTTGCCGGATTGTGATAAAATTAGTAGTTAATGGAAAATTGTGATTGCACATGCCGGTCCATAAATATGCAACAAGAAAACGAAGCAACGACTTCGCCACCACCAAAAAACATCAACCCATACCTGGCTACGCCGACCGGCATAGACTCCAACGGCTTGGACACAGCTCAAATTGAATAATTGAAATGAAAAGTCTTAAATAAACACATTTATATTCTGGTTTTATCATCTGGCCTGGAGCTATTGAAGAAACACCCACTGTCATTCGTGTTATGTACGTTCTTTTACTATGTTTGACAACACCACATTTATTTATACCAGACGCAGATTCTGTCTAGTCATAGTCAAGTATTTGTTTGCTGCAGTGTTGTCAGGATAACTTAAGAGCTCCCTGGCAACTCTGCAGTTTCGTGTTTCATCCCATCTTTCCTTGAATTTCACAAGGGAATGTTCTTTAATTAGGTCTGTCACTACCGATTTTGTCAGGCCAATAGAAGGGCCAGGTCCAAAAAGTATTTGGTTGGCTGCTTTCTTGGTGAAGCTGCAAGACGGTTACCTTTCGATGTGGCGTGACCTTTGATCCATATTAAGGTAACCACATTGTTGATGGATACTTCGGCCAAAGCTTCATGATATTCTA